AGATGACTGTTTAAAGTCAGTGGCTTTCAACCTCTAATGACCATAAACCACAATTTCATGCAACAAATTGATGTTGACCAAATGCATTCTGAAAATTCGTTTCCTCTTTCTCTTCTATTCTATTTCATCTTTAAATACCTCCCATGACCTAATGCATTGTTTCATGATCAATTTTTTTTTCATGGAACATAGCTGGCTGTTTGGAAAACATCACTACATAGTATACAGGATAATATGCAGAATTACCAATGAGTTAGTGTTAAAGCTGTTACTGCCCGTTTAAAAAAAAAACTACTTTGAAACCAAGTATTATTTTATATCCACAGATGTTCTGAAATAGGTATTTTAAGTATATTAAATGTAAAATTTTCAAATAGAATGTTCTATACCAGGGGTCGGCAAACTTTTGAGGCAGACAAGCCAATCCTGTCCTTCACAACAATTTAAAAATTATTTGAGACCCATAAAACAAATGAAATCACCATTATGTGAATAATATCCTTTAAAAATTGTATAAATGATGAAACTATGATGGTTTTATTTTCATTTTCAACTTTACTTCAGAGCCACGTGTACGTACCCAAAGAGGCGCAGTTTGCTGACCCCTGTTCTATACAATGAAAAATATGGAACTAAAATATGTTCTTAGAAAAGAAACTAAAGGGATTATAACATTAGAGCAGAAAACTTCTAAACTGAAAACATCTAAATGTAAATGCTATTATGTATTTCCTCAGGGAGAATTATAATTCTTAAACAGCTCTCTTAAATTTATCAAATTATTTTGTAACTAGTGGATGACAAAAGTGAGTGAAGTAATGGGGATCTCCCTTCTAGGATGAAAACATGTTTCCTTTTCCTCACATAAAAATTATTCCTCTGTTGCATCAATTCTTCCCTTGCAATATTTAGCACACATTTATTTTCCACTATATGTTTATCTGCTATCCTATACAAACTTATGACCACACAATTAGAACATTAAAATACAGTAAGTCCTCACTTAACATCAATAGGTTCTGCAACTTTAAACAAAATGATGTACAATGAAACCAATTTTACAATAAGCTAATTGATATAAGAATTAAGTTCCTACAGCGTCTCAGCAATGTTATAATGAAATAACACTGAAAAAAACACAATGTTATTAGAGGACCTGCTGTAACTTCCTAAGAAGTTTAATGTCATCCTATATCTCTTGATCCAAATCAACTTTCAGATTACTACAAATTTATCTTCCTAATTTCCTATTTGATTATCTCACTACTCAAACTGTTTCTCCTGCCATTCAAAGGCTTCACAATTTATCTTTTTTATTTTTAGCCTGTCCAGAATTAGTATTTGTGTTAGTATGGTCAGTGTTATATGATCAACTTCGCCAGGTTATACTATCCAGTTATTCAATCAAATACTAACCTAAGTGTTGTTGTGAAGTTATTTTGTAGACATGATTAACATCCAACATGATTAATGTTGACTTCATGTAAAGGAGATTATGCCGGATAATCTGGGTGGGCTTGATACAGTCAATTTAAAGGCTTTAAGAACAGAACTGACACAGAACTGAAGAAGAAAAAATTCTACCTGTTGGTCAGTTCCTACCCAAGGGTATCCAACCTGTCCTATAGATTTCAGTCGAGCCTGGCGAGCCCCCCATGATTGTATAACCCATTCCTTAAAATAAATGTGTGTGTGTGTGTGTGTGTGTGTGTGCGCGCGCGCGCTCACGCGCGCATCCTAGGAGTTCTATTTCTCAGATGGAACTTTGGTTAATAAGGCACTTTACCATCATTAGTACATTATGCCCCAGCCCAACTCTTGTCATATTCAGCTTGTGCCTTAGGCCTTACTGACTCTGCACTTGTGCTCCCCCTCATGCCTCAGCCTGAAATGGTCAGCTATCCTTGTTTTGAGCCTTGGAAATTATACCTCACCCCGACTTCCATAAATTAGAGATGCCACTCTCTGAATCTCTATAGCTTTCTGTTAAGTGTCATTTGAATAGAATAGAACATGATCTCCTTTTTATTTTTTTCTGTATTATATTATCCTATGACAATAAGATCCAGAAGAATATAAGCCATGTGTCATATAGCTCTGAAACTTCACCAACATTCATAAAGTTTCAGCAATAGCACCTTATACATAACAGCCATTTAATAAATGAATCAAGTATTATTACATACATGAAAAGAAGCTTTGAACTCAGATAGACCTTGGTTTTTTAGACTAGTTCTATCTTACTAGCTTTGTAAGGGTGGACAAATTACTTAATCTTTCAGCTTAGTTTTCTCTTACGTAAAGATTAATAATCTCCATAATGGGTTGTGGCAAATATTAAATGAGATCATATAAAAAACACACCAGTATAGTGCCTGGTATATATCATATATTGGTGCTAAATGAAATTTAACTATTTTATAATCACCTTGGAAAGGTTATTATGCATTAATTCACCAAATACATTTTATATATATATACATACACACAGACAGACAGGCACTTTGATAAATCCTGTGAAAAATAAAACGATAAATTAGTGATTGCTAACATTTATTGAAGTTATTTTATTCCAGATACTCTTTTAATACTTGTCTAATACCTTTATGTCTATAACAACTCTAATTATTATCTCTATTTCCGGATGAATAGGCATATACACAGAAAGGTTAAATAATTTGTCCAAAGACTCATAGCTAATTAAGTGCTGAACTCAGGATTTAAATTGAGGCAATCTAGTTCTATGGTCTGTACTTTCTTTCTGTTGTGCTAAGTATTTCTTGTGGGTGTGGATTTGGTTTTGAAGTGCCATGTACTCTAATAAGAAAGAGAGAAAAACTTCAAAAATAACTACTAAATTATAAATTTTAAAAGTACCACAAACGAGGAACTACAAAAAAAAACCCACAAAATGTTCTTCAAATAATTTAAACACTAATTGGTACACGTGATGTACATTATCACTCAGGAGGCCATATTAAAATGGACAAAATCAACCTAGCCTTCCGCATTTTATTGACCCCACTCTGGGAAGGTGTTTCTGTGCCCTCCACTTCGTGTGGGATGACTTACAGTTTCTATGCAGCTGTGAATGAGCACAGGCGACTTTTTCATGTAGACAAGCAGATCTCCTTTGTCACATTTACCCACAGAGTTAAAGTTAATGATAGTTCTAATAAGAATCTTCCAATCTTATATACACCAGTTTTCCAAAATGAAACATTTCCATCATATATAAAAATAACCTGTGATGTTTTTACTTGAAGTACAGAATTCTCCTATGATCAATAGTATTATCAAAAACTGGGGCCGGCCAAGTGGCGCGATGGTTAAGAACTGGCTTGGGATGCCAGAGGGCCCCGGTTCGGATCCCACATATGAGGGCCAGTGACACTGCCCTCCACAGCTAAGATGCTGAACAACAGCTCAACCTGGAGCTGGGCTGCTGGGAGTTGCCGGCGACGGCGTAGGCTGCACCCCCTGTGGCAGTGGGTTGCCATGGCTACTGTATGTAGCCAGCAGCCAGCGTGAGCGGCCAGCAGCCGCAGTGAGCGGCCGTCCAGAAGCCGGCGACTGATGTGCCTCGCCCGGGAAGAGTGCAATGATGGTGCCAACTTGGGCCAGTGAAGCAACGTCCTCCACAACTAGACTGAAGAACAAAACAACAGCAACTTGTCTGTTCCCCTTCCCCAATTCCCCAGCACTGTTCCCATACCCCCAATTCCCCAATAATAATAAAAAAAAATCTTTAAAAAAAAAAAAACTGAGCATGCACTTTAAAATAACAGTGATTTTCTAGATTAAAATTTTTCTGTATAATTTTCATATCATTTCCCAATAACTAATGAGGAATATCTGTAAAAGAGATAGGTCATATTACCTCAACTTTTCTCATTTAGTTAACTAAACTTTTCATGCTAAATCATGGCAATCAAATCCTCATGTTAACTTCACAGAGAAATCCATAATCATTGTACTAATTTTGAGTACACTAGTTTTACAGAGAACATATTTTAGAGCATTTTCTTTGCAGCAAAGTCAACAAGAAAACACATAGTTGTTGCTCTTCAGAAGATCACTTTTGAGTCTAGTGCTGGAGAACTTCTACATGGCCTTTTAAATGCTTCTTGCTGATTCATAGTCAGACAAGCACTCTAGAGGCTCCTTATTAAAGACCAATGACTCTGTATACAATAAAATTTTTTTTAATTTCCTGAAATAATTCTGCATACTTAATCTGATTATATCCAAGAATATAGTTTAATAATCCATAAACACTTAAATTCTCTTACAAAAATAATTGTATCATTTTCTATTCTCCCCACTGCTGTCTCCAAAGGTCAGATGCTTACATCTGACCCACTGTCACATTCCCCAAACTCAACTCTTCAATTCACTCCTGTCTCTTCCAAATTTAAACTCAGATTTCTCTGAAATCTATTTTGGATTTGGTGCTCATTAAACAAAAAATAACACCTTTCTTTAAAGACTATTTTGTAAATTGTATTCATGCATTTGTCCACCTTTCCAACAACAAAGACTCAAGGAATATAGACCATTTCTATTTCTTTATTAAAATGCAGCAACCTGAACAAAAGAGTCAGCAAAAAATGCACTTTTTTTCTTTTTTCTTAATAGTTTAAGTTTTGTTTGTCCCATTAAAATTTCAACTTACTTCTCTCATATTGAGGTTAGTTTTTGTATTTGTCTGTGTAATGTAACATTAAAATGTTTTTAAAGAACACTAACTTGTTAGTTATTTTATTTCCTACAGGCTATGTTACCACAGATAATTTTAACAAAAGACTTTTTTTAAACATCACTTCATTGGAGAAAAAATAACTTCCCATACCATACATTACAAAATTATTGATGCAAATTTTTTTCAGGCATCATCTACCATGAAATGGCAATTTAAACAAACTTTCTAAGATCAACCATGAATTAGTAATAATATTATCACAAAATAAAATTCAATAATATCATATGAACTATTTTACCTTTGCATTATAGGGAATGTAGTGTTTTGATAAAGCTTCCGGCGTATGCATCCATGTTTTGTCTGCAATGAAGAATATACAGTGTTAAATTACAGGTTCTAAAGGTGTCATATTCGTGCATTAGCATTTGTAAGGAATCTGATATGGGTGAGAGCATTTCTAACTCCAAGATCCTTTTGCTAAATTAAGAAAAAAATAACTAGTCAGATGTAAGAACAATGTAACTGGAAAGTGATTATATAATTCTTTCCTTGGTATAAATGTCTCAGCTTTTCTTTTAAATGTTTTCAAAAAATACAAATGTTACTGACTTTTTAAACAATATATAGAAATAGCAACATCAGTTGGTCTATGACTAATTATATCAATTATGTGACTAATTATGTAATATCTCTTTTTACTTATACTCTCATGAATTACAGGTTATTTTTCTTAACTCCTTAATCAATAAACAGTAATCTTCTCTTTACTAGTTCTTATTTTTAGCAAAGAGCTAATTACTAAAGGGAAATTTTCATATTAAACTAACAGGATTTGGGTCACAATGGTGGAGTAAGTAAACGTTGTGATCGCTTCCTCCCACAACCACATCAAGAATACAACTAAACTACAGAAAAACCATCATTGAGAGTAGTGAAATGGGCTGGTTCCATACCGACATGTGGCAGTTAAAAATCAGGAGGGATATCTCAGCTGCAGAGGTCCCCCCCGGAGGAGAGGTCCCAGCATCACACCAGACCCCCCCAGCCCAGGATTCCAGTGCTGGGATAAGAAGTCCCCATAATTTTTGGCTGTGAAGACCAGTGGTGACTGTGGCTGAGTAAGAAGAAGGGCTGCTGGAGTCTCAGGCGTTCCTCTTAAAGGGCCTACACATGGGCTTATTCCATGATGGGCTGACTCACTTTGAACTGCAGTGCTGGGGCAGCAGCTTAAAAGTTGCCAGGGACAAGCAGGGAGAAATAGAATTGTCTGGCTTCAGGGAGAGGGCTAGAGCAAAAGCTTTCTCCCAGACAGCAGTACTGGCAGAAGCCTTCACCACACCCACCCAGCACGCACAGGCCGAGCACCATATCTGAATCTCCATCAACCTAGCGAATACCATTCTCCCCACCCTGGTGATTCCCTGAGACCCTGCCCCACCCAACTTGAGGGTCCACCCAAGCTCTTTCCAGCGGCTTTTTCATATAAACGGCACAGCTTAGATCATGCTAAAAACCTTCCTATAATATCTCAAAGGTTTTCAAACCCCAAACAAAAAGCATCTGGACTCAGTATGTCATGTACCTCTTGCTAAGTAGTACCAAGCACACCATTAGCAGAAGCTGACCTCAGTTCATAGCTCAGCCTCTCCCAGGAGCCTCTAAGCTCAGCACAAGTGGCAACCAGCTGCAAATCACCTTTTAGCTCGTACCAAGGGGCCCCAGGCAGGGCAGAGACAGCAGGAGAACTTGGCCTGCAACAGAGCCCCTCTCAAGAGGCCCCAGAACCAAATTACTGGGTAGCCAGCTTCACACCACACCAGACACCACCCAACCATCTCCACTAACAACAAACCCAAAAGGCAGACTAGGCAAGCAACAGAGCCCTGTTCCATTGGGCCAGCCTCTGCACAACAGGTCCTCCACTATAGTTATGGGAAGTCCTCACAACCAATCAGCCTGAGGATCAATCTCTCCCACTGACTTCCCAACAGCAATCAAAGCTCAACTACAAAAGAAGGACATGCACTAGCCACACAAGGGACACACCTTGAGAACACAGGTCAGGGGACGAGGGAGACGGCCCCACAGGAGATCTACTACATAAAGCCACTCTACTAAGACCTGCACAGAAAAACAGCCAAAATAAAGAGACAAAGAAACATGTCCCAAATGAAAGAACAGCCAAAACTTCAGAAAAAGAACTAAACAAAATGAAGACAAGCAATCTTCCAGATACGAAGTTCAAAACACTGGTTATAAGGATGCTCAATGATTGCTGTAAAAACTTCAATAAAGAGAAAAAACATAAAATGGAGATAGAAAACATAAAAAAGAACCAGCCAGAAATAAACAATACAATAACAAAAACAAAGAATATGTTACAGGGAATCAACACATTAGAACAGCAGAGGATCCGATCAGCAATTTGGAAGATAAGGTAGCAGAAAACACCCATACAGAGCAGCAAAAAAAACAAAAGAATCCAAAAAAATAAGAATAGTTTAAGGGGTCTCTGGAACAACATCAAGCATACCAACATTCTCATCATAGGGGTACTAGAAGGAGGAGAAAGAGAGCAAAGAAATGAAAACCTATCAGAAGAAATAATGATGAAAAACTTCTATAACCTGGAAAAGGAAATAGACGTAAAAGCCCAGAAAGTGCAGAGTCCCGAACAAGATGAACCCAAAGAGGTCTACACCAAGACACATCATAATTAAAATGCCAAAGTTTAAACACAAAGAAACAATCCTAAAACAGCAAGAGAAAAGCAGTTAGTTACCTACAAGGCAGCTCTGATAAGACTATCAGATGATTTCTCATCAGAAACTTTGCAGGCCAGAGGGGATTGGCATGAAACATTCAAAGTGATAAAAAGGACCTACATTACTCTACTTAGCAGAGCTATCATTTAGAATGGAAGGACAAATAAAGAGCTTCCCTGACTAGAAAAATTGAAAGGGGTTCATCACCACCAAACCAGTATTACAAGGAATGTTAGATGGACTTCCTTAAGATGAAAAACAAAACAAACAAACACACAAACAAAAACAAACAAATGTCAATAATAAAATGGCAATAACTACATATCTATTAACAACTACTTTAAATGTAAATGGATTAAATGCTCCAATCAAAATATAGGATGGATGAATAGACAAAAAAATAATAAGACCTTTACATAAGTTGACTACAACAGACTCACTTCAGATCAAAAGAAACATACAGACTGATAATAAAGGGAAGGAAAAAGATATTTCATAGAAATGGAAAAAAAAAAAAAGGTGGGGTAAGAACACTTATACCAGACAAAATAGACTTTAAAACAAATGCTACAGGGACCAGCCAAGTGGCTCAGTTGGTGAAGAGCTAGCTTAAGAGCACAAGCTCTGAGCAACAGGGCTGCCGGTTCGATTCCCACATGGGCCAGTGATGCTGCGATCTCTACAGCTAAGATTGTGAACAACAGCTCGACCTGGAGCTGGGCTGCCATGGGTGTCCGGCAACGGCGTAGGCTGCAGCCCCTGCTGCAATGGGCTGCCATGAGCTACTGTGTGCGGCCGGTAGCTGGCGTGAGTGGCCATTCAGTGGCTGGCAACTAACTGCCTCAGCCGGGAAGAACGCAATGATCATAATACCAACATGGGCCAGTGAAGTGGTGTCCTCCACAGCTAGACTGAAGAACAAAAGGACAGCAACCTGTCTGTTCCCCTCCCCCAATTCCCCAATAAAATCTTTAAAAAAAGAAAGAAAGACTAGCAATTCTACTTTTGGACATTTATGAGAAGAAACCCAAAACATTAATTCAAAAAGACATATGCATCTATATGTTCATTGCAGCATTATTTACAATAGCCAAAGTATGGAGGCACCATAAGTGTCCACCAATAGATGGATGGAAAAGAGGTACATATATACAATGGAATATTACTCAGCCATAAAATAAGAATGAAATCTTGCCCTCTGCAAAAACATGAATGGACCTACAGGTATTATGCTAAGTGAAATAAGTAAGACAGAGACAGACAAATACCATATGATCTCACTTATATGTGGAATCTAAAATTTAAGAACAAAACAGAAATAAATTCATAGATACACAGAATATTTTGATGGTTGCCACATGGGGGGCGGGGGGCGGATTGCAGCAATGGGTGAAGGAGGGGGATTCAGACAGAGGTACAAATTAGTAGTTTCAGAGTAGTCATGGGGATCTGGGATATAATGTGGGAAGTGTGTTCAATAGCATTGTAATGGCTATGTATAGTGTCAGATGGGTGCTGGATTTGTTAGGTGATCACTTTGTGAGTTGTATAGGTGTCTGATCACTTTTTTGTACATCTGAAACTAGTATGATATATGTGAACTGTAATTCAAAAATAAAAGGTTATTAAAATAGTAAAAATCAAAAAGGGGAGAGGGAAAAGGAGAGGAGAGAAAGGAAAGGAAAGGAAGGGAAGGGAAGAGAGAGGGAAAAGAAAGAAGAGAAAGAGAAAGAAATAGATATTTACACTGGCTCTTTTGTGGGAACGAGGTAATGCTTTTTTTTTTTTCCCTCTGCAACTTCATACTTTTCTTTGTTTCCTTACATTGTGTATTTATTGTTTTTGAAATAGAAATAAATGGCCTTTTACTGTGTACCAAAAAAATTATACTAATACCGTCTTTATATGAAACTGAAATAAGTCTATCTACTACTAAGTTCTTAGAGACATCAATATAATATTAGGATAATTTTTTGGTATAAATTTAGAGAAACATTATTTGAAGGTCTACTCTCACAAGTTTTTTTATATAAATAATCTTAATTGAAAGGTTCCTTAGGTTAGTGTAATAGGATATTAAAAAATAAGAGTAACCAAAAGGATAGAAGATATTGAAACTAATTTGTATTGTATATTATTGATAAAAATAGAAAATACACTTTTTGTTCAATTCTTGAACTTTATAATTGCACATATCTTCCCAAATATTTTGTGAAATTTGTAAGCAAGAAAAAAGCAAAAATATTAATGTTAAACAAACCAAATTTGGCTATTTTTTTTAACTTTTTTTTTGGTAGTAAAACTTGTCAACCTTCAAATGTGTTGTCTCTTTTTCTGCAATTTTATGAGTATTTTAGTCATAGGAATTAAATTTAGAATCAATATTATAAACAGGATAAAATCAAAGACATATTTTACCATGAAAAATATTATATAAGTACATGTTGAAAGGAAATATTGGAATACTAACAAAATATTTTCAGCATTCAATTCAGAACATTTGAAAATGGTGTTAACAGAGCCTAGTTTGATAGCATTAATATGTTCTTCTCAAACTGGGGAAATGTGAAAAAAAGAAAAAGTGGCATCTATTTCTGGAATTTAATCATTTTATACCATTTGAAGGATAATGCACTATATTTACATCAAACACGCTTCTGGTGTACAATGCAATATTTGCAAGAATTTCAAAGACAGATCAAATGGGATTAAGGAAATCTCATGTTCATGGCACATTTCAGGGCTATTTCTGACTACTGAAGTGGATATGTGATAGCTGTACTTGGGTGAAACATTTTGAGAAAAAATACATTGTAGGCTTCAAAAAGCAATATTGAGGGCTGACCGAGTGG